ATAATAATAATAATAACGAATTTATTGTAGCCTTCCATTTTACATGGCTCTTCATCTACAATGTAACTACTTATTTACTACTTATATACTACTTATAATATATGCTACTTCTTATCATTAGTTAAAACATTAAAATATTGTACATGCACATGCTAGAGTACTGGAACGTAAAAGTTAACCCAAACGTTCTCTTGCTTGATCGAAGAGAAATACTCTTGTTTCAGCACAAAATGTTTCAAAGTTTTTCTCAGCCCTTAGGGTTTGAAGCAGTGGAACTTGAAGCAGTGGAACTTGAAGATGTTAAAAAGCGACGATTTGCGCTGTTGTTTAATTTGAGCGAAGATGCGTTTCGTTTGGCAGAACCGGTTGAGTTTGGCGAAGGGGAAAACGCGTACAAAGATTGGATTGGAAAGTTGAAGTCGTTATTTGAAAGGAATCAGACTGCTACGGAGAAACGTTACAATTTTCATCGTCGAGAACAGGAGCCTGGTGAGTCTGTTGATTCGTATGCTGTTTCTTTGCGAGAAGCTGGAGCTAGATGTGGTTTCGAAACATGGTGACGAATATTCTAGCAGGTTGGTTGATCAATTTATTTTGGGGTTGAGAGATAAGGCCACCCAAAACAAGTTGTTACAAGAGCCACCAAACAGTTTAGATGATGCCTTGTTAATTGCTCGAAGATTTGAGGCAGCAAATGCCACAATGAAAACATTAGCCAGAGAAGCAACAGAAAAATTAAGTAGAACAACAATTGGCTCAGTTAGTTCTTTGAATGCTGCTAAAACATGTTATTCGTGTAATGGATTTGGTCATGTGTCCAGACAGTGCCCTACTATGAACAACTTCAGGCAAAATAATACTGCACGGCGACAAACTAAGTTTTGTTATTCATGTCAAAAACCAGGACATTTGGCAAAATCCTACCCCTTGGCTAATCAACAACCAGTTAATACTAAGCTCCAAGGTTATGATAAGAATTGGCAAATGGATAGACACGTGACCATTTGCTATCGTTGTGGGAATAGTGGCCATATTGCAAAGTTCTGTAATGCCAAGTTGGAGGGAGGTCTGGGTTCTAGTAGAGATGGTGAAAGCCCCAAGAAAAATGATTCAAAAATCAGACTGTCTACCGTTTCTTCAGCGAGTAAGAAGAAAACCCTTATGGTCGAGACTACTATTAATGGGAAAAATAAACTTTGTATAGTTGACACTGGCGCATCTATTTCATTAGTTAGTAAAGACCAGTGGCAACCTCTTAAACTGGATGATACCCCATTATTTCCATCCGATATTGTTGCAGAAGCCGCTAACAATTCTCCCATTGAGATTTTGGGCAAAACCACCTTGAATGTGCAATTTGATGAAAACAACAAGTCATCTCATGACTTTTATGTGGCTAATGAAATGGTGTCTGAAATTATTCTGGGTTTAGATTGGTTAGTAACTAACAAAGTAAATGTCGATATGGCTGAAATGGTTTTGAAATTCCCAGATGGTACCGAAACATGAAGTTTTCAAACCTGCCAGGGTCCGAAATCCCACTTTAAATGAAAGCATCTTAGAGCCTAATATGAACTTATCCGGGAAAGGTGTTCTTGTAGCAAGAGTTATTGTACAGCCAAAAGAACAGAGGGTACCCATCCAGATTATTAATCCAGGGACATCACCTATTAAGTTGTACAAGGGCATGACTGTTGGGCAACTTCAGCAAGTTGGTGATGAGTTAAGAGACCCAACATTTATTAATTCAAAGTGTGGTACATCATCTGCCGAGGATAAGATCAAATTTAAGTTAGAGCATCTGTCGGGTGAGGAGCGAGAGAGGATGGAAAATTTGTTGAATAAACACCAAGATGTTTTCGCGAAAAATTCTAGTGAACTTGGCGTAACCACACTAGCAGAGCATAAGATTGAGACAGGCGATGCCGTACCTGTTAAACAGCTGCCTCGAAGACTGCCCAATTCTTTGAGAACCGTTGTTGAAGACCAAGTAGAAGAAATGTTGGAAAACAACATAATTAAGCCGAGTAATTCACCATGGTCAAGTCCTATAGTCTTAGTTCGAAAGAAAGATGGGACATGGCGTTTTTGTATTGATTTCAGGAAACTAAATGATGTCACAGTGAAAGATGCTTTCCCACTTCCCCAGGTTGCTGATTTGATGGATAACTTAGCTGGTCATCAATATTTTTCGACACTCGACCTAGCCTCGGGATATTGGCAGGTTCCAGTTGACGAATCTAGTCAGGAGAAAACAGCTTTCGTGATTCCAGGGGGTGGTCACTTTGAATTCCTGCGTATGCCCTTTGGCCTAACGAATGCTGTGCCCACGTTCCAGCGACTTATGCTTGCTGTGTTGAATGGTCTTTTGCCACTCAAGTGTCTGCTTTACTTAGATGATGTTTTGGTCGTGGGTCGCACGTTTGACCAACATTTGGAGAATTTGGACGATGTCTTGCAGGCTATAGACAAAGCTGGATTGAGACTTAAGTTGTCCAAGTGTAGTTTTGCGAAGCCAAGTGTGGATTTCTTGGGTTTTACCGTTTCTGCTGCTGGTCTGGCCCCAAATGTGACCAAAGTTGAAGCAATCCGTGCTTTTCCTACCCCACAGAATCTCACTGAGTTGCGACGTTTCCTGGGTATGGCCTCTTACTACAGGCGTTTTATTTCTGGTTTCAGTGACATTGCAGGTCCTCTTCATCGTCTGACGCAAAAAGGTGTCCGCTTTGATTGGGACAAGAACTGTCAACGAGCGTTCGAACAACTGAAAGAACAACTTATATCTGCCCCTGTTTTGGCATTTCCTGACTTAAATGGAGACTATATATTGTATACGGATGCGAGTGATGTGGGCATAGGCGCAGTGCTGACCCAAAAGGATGAAAATGAGGAAGAAAAAGTGGTTTCTTTTGCATCTAAGGCATTTTCGGGTGCTGAAAAGAACTGGACAACAACAGAAAAGGAAGCATTTGCAGTGTTCTGGGCTTTACAATACTTTCACCCATATGTCTATGGGAGAAAGGTCACCATATATACTGATCATAAGGCTTTGAAATGGCTTCGAGACATCAAACATCCAAATGGTAAATTAGCTCGTTGGATCTTAAAATTGGACGAATATGACTATACGATAGAACACCTACCTAACACGAAAATGCAGCATGCGGATGCCTTGTCTCGTGCACCTGTGAACACTATCTTGGTTTCAATGTCAACCTGGCAAGAGTTTGAAGACATGCAAACGTTCGACGAGGATATTCAGTTGGTTAAAGAATGGGTGCAAAGTGGTTCTAGACCAGATCAAAAACCGGTTGATGTGAGTGTAACTCTAGATACATTATACAAGAATTTTGATTCATTGGTTGTCAAAAATCATGTCTTATGTCGAAAGTGGGCTGATAAGACAGCAAAGGAACGAGAGCAAATTGTGGTACAGTACTGCCAAGAAATAACTTATCAAAAACCGCGTCCAAGACGCGGGCATCTTGCGTCCACTGTGCGTCCACGGGCGCCCGCGCGTGCGTCCGTCCTGCGGGCGCCGTGCGTCCATCGTGCGTCCACTGTGCGTCTGCGGGCGCTTGCGGGTGCGTCCACTGTGCGGGCGCCATGCGTCCGCGTTGCGTCTGCGGGCGAGGACGCAGCTGAGAAAGAGTTCTATTCGTAGATCGTCGGAAATTATCGCGTTTCGCTTTTCATAAACAAACCGTGGGCGTCGGAAAATATTCATGTTAGCGATTTCACACCACGTTTTATGCTTATACACAAGCGTTGCAGACCTAGAATCCTAGATATTTATATTTCTATTTCTAACAATAAACTTACCGTGAATTTTCAGAATTTGTGCTTCGTAAAGTTCCTTTTCGTATTTGATCTCTACTTTCGCACCTTCGTATAACGTTTGGTTTAAATCCAGTAATCTTTTAACGTTGCCGGTTGGCAAAATGCACGTATGGTTTTATATCTTCTTCGAAGAAAATCAAAATACGTTTTGGTTGACAAGTTAGCGATCTATACCTCATTTCATTAGTCTGATAGTAATACGGATCGAGTGATATTAGTCTGAGCTCTTCACTTCAGCTTTAGCGAATTATACTGCAACTTTGAAAATCAAGCGATGAGTCACACTCATTGAACCGTGTTGAAACACAAAGACTGTTTCCTGGACATGTAAAGGTATTCCATGTCATTTATCCAGAAATTATATGGTAATTATCAATTTATATGACATATCACCATGTGCATTTACTGCTTTGGAAAAACAACACAAACTTGTTGCTGTAAATAAAATTATATAGTGGCTCGTAGTAATGGTATTTTATATGAAAAATCAAAAGCATTATGTATATTGTAAATGAGCATCTTCGTTTTAATATACTGACGAGTTACGGAGACATAACATTATTCAAATACAGAATTGCATATCAACTAATCGGCAATCTTCTACGAGGTAAGTCTGAATTTGAGTAGCAAATGAATGTGTTGCGAGATATATACTCGTTGTAGTCGTGATCTCACTGAGTTTAGTATATGTGGCTACATTATATTTATATACAGTTTATGTCTATTTTACGCTCCAATATACAGTCATATACGCTTCAATCGCGACTCAGGTACGTGTGATTGCATTGTGAAAGCACTACGCTTACTGTAGTATAACGTATAACATTATAAAATGGTTATACTAAGTGTAACGCTTAGTTTAAATGAAACTCGATTTCGGATTCAACTTTTTATTCTTTGCTTCTCCGATCAGTGACACTGATCTGTATTCTCACGACAAACTACGAGTATGATGCAAATATTAGTTCGTTTTTCCGATTATGTTACGACGACTGCATCCAAGCGGACGCAGTTTTTAACTAGAGGCCGGACGCGGGCGCTTTGGAGGCAGGACGCGGGCAGAGCAGACGCAAGACGCGGGCGTCGTGGAGGCCGGACGCGGGCGCTCAGGAGGCAGGACGCGGGCAGAGTGGACGCAAGACGCGGGCGCTCTGGAGGCAGGACGCGAGCAGACGCGGGGACAAGTTATTTCTTGGCAGTACTGTACCTACCTATCTAACTCCTAACATACTGAAAGAAGCCCACTGTCAAGTTGGACATTTAGGTGTTGCAAAAACGTTTGAGATGATTCAACGGAAGTTTTATTGGCCTGGATTCTTTAAAGCTGTTGAAGAATTTTGTAGAAATTGTGAAGTTTGTTCCAAAAATAAAGCAGTACCTAGGCCGCGGAGTCCGATGAAGCCAATCGAAGTGATACCCATACCATTTTATATGATTGGTGTAGACATTATTGGTCCATTAAAAACAACTAGTAGAGGAAACAAATACATTTTGTCAGTCGTTGATTACTACACAAAGTACGCAGAGGCAGTAGCATTGCCAAATCAAGAAGCAGTTACAGTTGCGAGAGCCCTGGAAGACATCTTTGCTGGACATGGAATGCCCTCAGTCCTACTAACAGATCAAGGCAGTAATTTTGAGTCCAAAGTGATTGCAAGTCTATGTGAAATGTTTGGAATTGAAAAGAGACGGACTACAGCCTACCATCCCCAAACAGACGGGTTATGCGAGCGGTTTAATGGTATTCTGAAATCCTTGTTGAGAATGAGAGTAAACAAAGAGAAAAATGATTGGGACGAGCAGCTTCCACATGCGTTACTGGCTTATCGGGTTAGTACGCAATCCTCTACGGGTGTGACACCATTCGAAATGTTATATGGTAGAGAAGTGAGATTGCCGTTTGGAACGGATCAAGAAAAACTGGTATCTAGCCCAACACATGGTCCAGCCAAATACGTTGAAGAGTTAAAGAAGAGACAAGATATTCTCCGGAAATTGGTTACTAAAAGGATCGAGAAAGCGCAAGAGAAGCAGAAACGTAGTTATGATTTACGATATCGAGCACAACAAAACAAGCGGTTTTACATGGGGGACACTGTTCTATTAAAGAATTTTCGAGCGCGAGGTTTAGATGAAAAGTATACGGGTCCTTACATCATTGTTAACATTCGAGAGAACGATTGCGAGATAGAGTCATTGGAAAGCAGAAAGCGTAAAGTTGTACATGCGAATAATCTAAGACGGTTTGTCGTAGAAACAGTTGCTAATCCATTGGGTGAGGAATCGGAAGACATGCTAAGTTCTGATTCGGATGAGTCTACGATTGAACTTATTAATGAGCGTGCTGGAGTACGTATAGCACCACGTGGAATCGATGATCAAGCAGAACCATTAAATTTACGTTATAACTTAAGACAGAATCGAAGACAACCCGATCGTTATGGAGTACCTGTGTTGGATTATTAAACACTGTGAACAGATAAGTTAAACACTATTATAGTAATGGAAGTGTTGCATGAACTTTGTTGATTTGAACTATTTTATACCTACTTTCGTGTTGAGTTAACCAGTGAACTGTTATAGTCACTAATCAAGTTGATTTTAGGTGGGGGGAGTGTAGAGAAGCGCCTTTTAGTGTATGTGTTTAAGCGCCTTTTAGTGTATGTGTTTTAGCGCCTTTTAGTGCATGTGTTTTTGAGGAGAGAGAACCGCATGGGAGTGAGATATTGTAGAGTTAATGTGAAATTGTGAGATGTATTTCGTGGAGATTAATCGTTGTTGAGTATTGTAATTAAAGAGTTTTGGTATTATCTTAGTCCAGTAGTGCTTCGTGACACTGGCTATACTTGGTCACCAACCCACATTCACTGTATGCCTCTACATTCATGAATCATGTATATTATATAGTGACTCATACATTCGTAGATTTTGTGATTAACCCATTGAGCACTAGCACTCTCCCCCTGATGACTAAAATCAACTGACATTAGAGAGTTAAAATAATACAGTAGGGGGAACTACCAAATGGTCACATACTGCATGTACAAAGTGTTTTTCACGGATCATTAGGATTTGAACTGGTATTCGATTTGAGAGCACACTCAATAAACTATAGTTTTACTTGTAGTCATATAATTTATTCATCTAGCAAATTATATGTATAGAATTCCAAACCCCCATGTCCATCATAGACAGCAAAAAATGAAACATTTTTGTCTTCCTCCAGTGCCAAAATGGCAGTTAATGCATCTTCCATGTCTTTATTTTGTGTCAAGGTAAAATTATTTTAATTACTGTACAGTACTGGTATACTGATTCAAATAAGCTGGATATGGACTTCATATTTTGTATTGATCACAAATGCACCAATCTGATACAGTACCATGATACTTTTCATGATTTTCATAACTGTAAAATTATGTTCTCCTTTGCCTGTATGATAAAACACTACAGTAACTGGAATTTTTTAACATTCTTAAAAATGAATAAATTATTAATGCTTCACTGGATGGTGCAAAAAATTGAGAAAAACATTGTTAGAGAAATAATAAAACATGTATATTTGAAAGGTTATCAGTTATCCCTCAATCCAGTTTTTTTCATGATCAGCATTTGCAATGCAGGAGAACAATTAGCCTGTGTACAGACTGTATTGTGCTGTAGGCACTGGCTGTAATACAGTCTGTGAAAATGTGTGGCATTTCGTGTCAACCCCCAGCAGCAGTTGATTCTGATTGGTCACGACTGAACTTAATAGATTCTGATTGGCTTCAGTTGATATAAATATCAACGAGTCAACGACTGTTGGACTTTGAAGTAATATTTTACTTCTCTCTATGCTTCAAACTACTAAATTTTCAATGCAAAAATGTTTCTAATGTATTGCAGATTAATAGGATATCTAATTGAACAAATGAAATGCAACAACATGTTGAAAATAATGGCAATTCCTGAGCGTGATGTGATTTGTTTACGTTAAAAGTCAGAACTTTGTTGACGTTTGAACTCAGCCAATCAGAATCTATTGAGTTTAACTATGACCAATCAGATCTGGGTAGCACAGCTGGGGGTTGAAAGGCAATGCCACAATTTTTCACAGACTGTATTACAGCATAATACCACAGAATAAGGCACACAGAAGGGCCCCCTGGCCGCCATCTTCCTAGCCAGTCGATTACATTTTCTGGCCAATAAACGAGCTGTATTGGCTGGAGGCCCCGCCTTCTGGCCAGTCAATTGCACATTTTTGCATAGAAAAATGGTGACACGTTGCACCGCTGAGTGGCCCTTCTGGTACTGATCTTTATTCTGTGATAATACAGTCTGTGCACAAGCAAGAGAACAATATACATCATTAAAATTATATTTTGAAAAAGGATACTGATTCTCCATCCTTGCATAGATGACGCACCAACTAAATATTCCTTACTTGACAAGAGTTTAGTATCCTTACTTGTGATTGGCTCAGACAATGTCTGACCCATTACCTGATTAAGATATTAACATCTTAATTAAGGGGCCATCCATTTAGTATGTACAAAAAAATGTAAAAGAACAAAAAATGCAAAGAACAATAAAAATGACATAAGTAAACAATAGGCATACACAAAAACTGCAAAAATTATGACCTCTCACCCCTTAGTTGGGCAAAAAGATGAGAGAAATAAATTGAAAAGCAAGAAATATGTAAGATAACAGTAAAATTGCAGAGAAATATGTAATGTGTACAAAAATTTTAAGCCCTTCAAAAATTTTTATACCCTTCAAAAATTTTTATACCCACCATGTTGACAAAATTTTTTGAATAGTCAGGCAAAATGCAACAAAGTTGGGCAAATTTGTTTCTACAACCCTAATTTTTTCCCTCCCATATGTCTATGGGAGGAATGGATGACCCCAGCTCTGATGGATGACCCCCAGCTCTGCTCAAACTGTGCTCAAACTCAGTTCACAGTTAATGTTTATGTAGAATAAAACACACAATAGACAGTCATGTGGTGGACACTAGGGGGTGTGGGGCAACTGCCTCAGGCCTAAAAAATACCTGTGGTTCCAGTCCCGACCAGCTCTATTTTTTTCTGCCGACCCTATTATTTTTTCAACACGACTGACCGTGCAACCCTATTTTCTCCGGGTGGTTGCAGGCTGCTCATACAGTGTGCCAAAAAGGCATCTGTTGTCACACTAATTATTGAACCAAATTGCCTAAATTCGTCCATAGGAAATACGCATCTCTAGTTACAGTAATATTGATGTCGGGACTACTGCAAATTGCCCAGCAAAAAACCACCAAAACCATGAAAAAAATATTCAAAAAAAATTCCGACCTACTGACCTGAATTTTTTCACGATATGAAACCGGAACCACAGGTATTTTTTTTAGGCCTCACCACAATAATTTCTGAAAGCCTTTCAATGCTAGCTGAATAACTGTGTAATGTGTATGTTAAAAAGCTTTAGCAATAATTTTTCAACCATGAAAGCATTTTTAGACTAAAAATTAATGTATAGCTTGAAATTTAATAAGGCAAAAAAGTTTGAAAAACTGAGATTTCCAGCAACAAGTGGTGGTCAGATGGTAGAAACAGTGATCTACAGTATCGTAGAGGCCCTGTTAAGGTAAATTCCAACAGGCGACATTGTGTTGAAATGGCAACATATTGAAATATCAACATTAGACGAGACTCTGTCTTTATTGTGACAGACACATCAAGTGAATGTGACATGGCAGATCATGGCAACATTAATTTGAAGCGGCAATTAATATTATTTGTTTGAAATTCAAATGAGCCACATGCATACTCGTCGTAACAAGGCCCTATCTTACAGTATTGATCTCACTGACATGACCTTGATTAGAAGACAAGAGACGTATTTGTGTATGTACACCATTGATTTTACAGAATTATACAACAGTTTGATATGACAAATTTTAGCCAGGCAACTGTTCTGTTTGCCTCAAGTGAGATCAGTCCACCAATCTGCAACTGATATATAGGGAGAATTCTTATTTTTAAACACTTAATTTGGTGGGAGAATTGGCTGTTTGGAGGGAGAAAACCAGCTGTCAAAGTCCTTTTCATTAGAGCAGTCAGATTAGTGTCTCGTTCAAACTTCTAGCTACACTCGCAGCACAAGAAGCCCCTTGACTAATGTTAAATTGGGCACTATCTTGGACTGAAAATATGACATGAAGACATGTTTTAACAAATAAATACTTCAATTTTGACTTTTCAAAATTAATGTGAATCTAAATTTTCCCCGTTTACAGTTTTACTTGTCTCTTACGCAGCCGCACGTAGATATTTCTTGATAAAATTCAATAAGATCGATAAGAAATCAGGATAATTGCTAGTTGCCAATATTAGGAGAAGTTTTTCACTACCGGGACATCACAGGTCTATACCGGGAGACTCCTGGCTATGTCAGGAGAGTTGGCAGGTCTGACCTTTTGGCATTTCAGCAAAGTGAAAAATCAGTTAAATATGCCACCATATATTATGAAAGACTTGAAAAATCACAAAATACACTTATATACTATATACAGAATAAAAAATTTAGATATTTAATTATTTATCATGCAAATTTATAATATGACATTGTCATGTAAACGTGAAACCCAACACTGAAGGACAAATACAATTGACTACACTTCATACTTTTACATAAATCAATCAAGCTATTAATTTCTTTCTTTGTGAAAGTATGAAGCTATGATATAAAATTATTCTAACGATATAGAGATAAAATCATCATTTTCAGCTATGTCAACAAAACTAGATGGACGAAATTCAATGTCAAAATTGCTAAACTAACCTCTCCTGTGTCGCCTCACGAAGGTATACTGCGCAAATTTTGATGTACTTAATTATAGAATACGAATTCTACAGTACATATTCCCAGAAAAACCACAAAAATTTATTTCTTTTTACAAATATCAACTTTTCACAAAATAAATATGCAACAGCCAACAGTTGAGAAAAGTGTTGACAAATATAGGGTACATTCAGGGATATCTACGACAAAACACAAAATTACCTCATGTATCCCCCTATGGTCGCCGCGGCTAATTCAGAAAATGAAGCACAGTTGGAGGTTTGGACTATGGGTTAATTCAACTTAGGACTAACCTGAGATTGATCAGGTCACAGTTAATTTCATGACATTGCGAGTTTAGTTGTCCTAGTTGATCTGTCCTGTACTTCAAGGGTTTCTTTGCAGCATCCCACGAAAACGAATCCGAATATATATGTATGGATACTTGTAACCGGAACGTTTTGTAAATGATGACGTAAATCGATGAACACATGCAAGTATAGAATCCCGTCCACGCTGGATTCTATAGTACAAAACATAATCCGAAGATTAGCATCTTGAAACCCAAAATATGAGTCAAACAAGAAAGTGAGTGAGTAATATTTCGATTTTATTACAAAATCATCATCAGACTAACTATAGTTACAAGTATACATATGGTCTTATATACAAGTTGGCAAGGCATGATGACATAACGGAAGTCTCAATCAGAACCACAACAGGTGCAGTGATATGTAAGTGTGATGAAATGTGGGTGTATAGATTAAGAAAAAAGCTTGAGTTCTTTGCTGGCTTTGAGTCCTGAGTCCAGTGTTTAAACTGGGTGAATCCGTGAATGCATGGTACTTGATATATAGAGCTTCAAGCAACAAGAGAAAATTAGGTGTGCGAGAATAAATTGTGTGAAGAATTCGAGAGTTGTCAATTATTAAGTTGGAAATAAAAGTGGAAACGTTAGTATTGTCAGCGTCAGATGGGTTGTTAAGTTTGTCAAAAGCAAAATGTAGGTTTACAATGTATTGCATATGTTCGCAGTTGTGAAAAGTTGTTGTCCAATAGCACTTTTGGTCGGATTGATATGCTCAGCGAGCTGCGTCTGTAAACGTCTTTCTGTTTTCCAAATATACGTTGCAGAACAGCCAAAATAAAAAAAACTTTTTGTTGTCATAAATAACTATGAAATTTACAGGAACAGTTAGGCATCTTTGTATTTTCTTTATGCAATTTTTAACTAAAGTTTCACCTTGTTTACCAAGCCCAAGGTATGGAACACGTACCCAAACCTTAGGCCTAGTGTCGTTTTCGTCAAAAAAGTTAGTGCGAGATCGATCCGTAGAAAATTTGTTTTTGAGTTTGGATATCAATAAATTTCTGATCGCACGAGGAAAGCCATTCCAAGACATAAACATTTTAAGCTTCCAAACTTGGTTTTCAAATAGTTGACTGGTGCTGCATAATTTTGATGCTCGGTGAAACAAAGATATAACCCACGCAGTTTTACGTGAAAATGGTTCAAAACTAGAAAAATGCGTGTATTGTCCAGTGTGCGTACTTTTGTAGTAAACATCAGTGTTATCCGACGAAATCAAAATTTTCTTTCCAACAAAGACAAAATTCCGAATCTTTCGAAATCTAATGTAGTTTACGAAGTGACATGTCCTGGCTGTTCCGCAACGTATATTGGGAAAACAGAAAGACGTTTACAGACGCGGCTCGCTGAGCATACCAATCCGACCAAAAGTGCTATTGGACAACATTTTCACAACTGCGAACATGTGCAATACATTGTAAACCTACACTTTGCTTTTGACAAACTTAACAACCCATCTGACGTTGAAGCTCTATATATCAAGTACCATTCACCCAGTTTAAACACTGGACTCAAAGCCAGCAAAGAACTCAAGCTTTTTTCTTAATCTATACACCCACATTTCATCACACTTACATCTCACTGCACCTGTCGTGGTTCTGATTGAGATTTCCGTTATATCATCATGCCTTGCCAACTTGTATATAAGACCATGTATATATTGTAACTATAGTTAGTCTGATGATGATTTTGTAATAAAATTGAAATATTACTCACTCACTTTCTTGTTTGACTCATATTTTGGGTTTCAAGATGCTAATCTTCGGATTATGTTTTGTACTATATTTTTTGAAATTGTCGGCTGGTATTGGTTTCTGATCTGGATTCTATACTTCCATGTGTTCGACGTTTCGACTACAAACTAGTCGAAACATCGATTAAAAATCAAAATATTATTCGGAGTTACTGTTATTTTGTATTTTCTTAATATACTGTCCTTGCGTCTTAATATTATCTGTCCGCACAAAGGGCGTCGTGGACGCCTGAAAGGGCCGATTTACACTACACAACTTTTGCCTAAAACTGATGCAACCTGCTTACAACTTGAGTTGTACTGTGTTCTACTAGAACTGAAGTTGTAAGCAGGTTGCATGCGACAGTTTTAGGTAAAATTTAAAGTTGTTGGGTCTAAAATACTAAATGAATCCGGATACATCCTAGACGCTGGTGTCAAGGTCATCCGGGTGGCACAGGTTATCAAGGTCATCCATGCAGGTGGCATCTTGTCTCATATTTCAGGTATATATAATAGACACTATCGCCAAGACTTTGTATTATATTGTGACGTTTGTTGGCATTGCATGCACTAATAATCTACAGTTGAACCACTAAAATAAGCATTTCAGTAGTCACCCGATGGCATTTCAGGAGTCACCCGAATCTTCTTATCGAGTCGCATTCTTGGCGGAATTGAGTTGGTCAAATGAAAGTAAGAAATACCTTTTGTGTTGTAAACGGCTGAAATTTTGCACCCGCCTGTGCGCGTGTAAATTGTTGTCTTATAAGTAATGGATGGGTTATTATTTGGGAGTTATGTAGGGCGCGCTACTATGCTAAATATCTAAGATTCTCAGTTAAAATTTTCACGCTTGAACGGCGTCAGCTCGCAGTGTTATCAATTCCAGATGTGGATAGTGAAGTCACCCCTTGTTCTTTCCTGGTTCTTTAATTCAGTCATGCTGTAATATAGTTGGAAATATAATTATAATAATGCGTAAAACCATATATACAATTCTACCGGGCACACAAGTTCCGTCCAGAATACGAGATAACATCTTGTGTAGTCAACATACATCTCTAATGGAGTGGATCCTCGTCGCCCTGCATTGTCACTAGCCTCCTCCGCAGGTATCTCACCCGACGAATCGAGTGGTGGGAAAAAGTTTGGTGAAATCTCTCTCCCACAAAATTTTTTTTCAAAACCCATTCGCAGGCTAGAACCCATAGAGAGGCCTGCGGAGGAGGCTACATTGTCACATAACAGTGACCCAATACACCCTTTCGATAATTACGTCATTTGGCCTGTAGCCTTGCTCTCGTGAATCGTGAACCAATCACCTTGGGTAATTTACTAATGAGAGCCGAGGCTCCAAGACGGCAAAAAGTATGTGTGACGTAATTATCGAAAGCGGGTATTGTGGGGTGTGGTTTCAGTATAATAGAGTATTTATAGAAAAATATGTGATACCTTCCTTATATTAAAATTCGCGTCGTACCCATTTTCGCTCAGCTTGTTGAGACTTATTCGATTTATTAACTTCAGCCGTCAACAGAAATATACATATGCAAACAGGAAGACGGTTCAGGAACACTAACACAGCGTGAGCCAATTACGTTAGTGACCTGTTACAAAACATCATTATACAAAACTTCACAACTTATAATTTAAATAT